GGAGAAGTTGGGATGTGGCACTGGGAGCCATCCTGGGAGCTGTGGCCCGAGCTGATGGGATGTGCTGGGCTCTCCTGGAGAGGATCCTGGAAGAATATCCTGGAAGAATATCCTGGAGGATCTTGGGTGGTCTCTCATGCCCTGTGGGATTTGCCAGCACCAAAACTTCCTGGGTTGTGCTGGGAAAAACCAGGATCCGGTGCTGGGAAAACCAGGCCAGGACTGCGCTTCTGCAGGAGCTCCAGCAGATTCCAACAGGAATTCCCACAGGGGACACGGGAATGCCGAGGGGAAGGAGTGACGCTGGTGGGACCTCGGAGTGGCACGGAGGGAGCTGTCCCCTCCTTCCATGGTGATGGAGCTGTCCAAAGCTGATCCCTCTGGAGCTTGGAGTCTCCATCCCTCCATCCCAACACATCCGTGATTCCCAGCACCCCACCAGGCCACAGGCACAGCTCCGTCCCCGGATCCACCCCCAGCTCTGCCTCCAGGTGTTCCCCCTCCTGGAGGAATCCCAGAGCTCCTTTCTGCCTCTGGGAATTTCAGGAATTTGGGGGTTCAGTCCTTTTGTGGGTATGGCCCTGCTGGCGCTGGGAGCTGCTCCCTGCTGGGATGTGGGGACAGGGACATTCCTGGAACGTGCTGGGGACATTCCTTTGGGAGCCACCCCAAATGCAGCTGTGGCTCTCTGGGCTGGGATTTTGGGAATTCTCGCTGCCCAGAGGGTTCGGGAGACTGAAACCCCAGGGCAGCGGGATCCCAGCACGGGTAAGCGGGGAAATATTTCCCAGGATTTCCCTGGCAATTCCCAAAAATCTCTGTAAAATGCTCTGGGTGATTAAAAATGCCGGTATTTTCTGTATCTGCTCTGGTGGCTCTGGATTCATCCCGGGTTTCTGGGTGGAGAAAATGACAGAGGATGTTTGCTGGGAACTGAGCAGGAGGGAGAAAGGGAAAGGGATTGCTGGAATATCCCGGACTAACTCGGATTTGGGCTCATCTCCAGCCTCCTGCCCAAATATTCCTGCTCCTCCTCCTCCAGTTACCCCAAAAATACAAAAGGTGGTTTAAAAGATCCCCTTAAAAAGGGCGAGGTTTCGTTCTGCTTGGTAAAAAGAGCAGGAAAACATCAGGATCAAACTTAAAGAGGAATTTCCATGCAGGAAAAGAGGAATCCGGTATTTATTCCATCTCCTCCCGCAGGCTTTGGGCACAGCACAGCCCCGGGGGGGTCCCGAGGCCGGCAATTCGGGCTGGGCTGGGAAGGAGGAGGGGGGGAAGGTCCTGGGGACGGTGGGGGAGGGCAGTGGCACTTCCCTGGGAACAGCCCTGCTCCAAAGGGGGACAGCTCCACATTCCCAGCACTGCCCTGTCCCATCCCAAGGCTCCTCGGTGTCGGAGCCGGAGCTGTTTGCAAAATTAGAATTTTATAAACAGAATTTCTATATTCATATATAATTTTGTAATTCACCCTACACTGCTGCAGGGCCCTTCAATCAATCAGATCACAAAAGGGCTAATTAATAACTCATCCAATGAGATTCCCCACATCCAGAGTTGCTTCCTTGTCCAAAAAAACCATGGAAAAACACCAACTAAAATCCCTTTTCTCAGTAATTCCCTGTTCCAGGTTGTCCCTGCAGGTCTGGGGGGTTGGAGCTGCAGGTGACACCAAACCCTGGCGAGGCCCAACCTCCCCTGCTGGTAATTAAAGCCTTTAGAGTAATTAACTGCTCCTGTTAATGATGGGCTGTGGAGCCTGGGAATGAATCACCCAATAATCCCTTTGGGAGGGATGAATGCCGGCCCGGTATTTCCCCTTTTTTCTTTTGGAATTTCTCAGAAATGTTAGTAATTAGGATTGACAGAAAATTACAGAGAGGGAGCCAACCTCCATCTCATTTCCCTGGAAATCTGATTTATCCCTTTTTTTTAGGATTTATTTAAGGGATTTAGGGATTCATCCCCCTTAGGATATTTTTGAGGTCAGGAAAATCCTGGTACTGTTGCCATGACCACCTGCTCCAACTCCCATTTCAAACTGGAAATGATTTTTCCAAGGGAAAACAGCAGGACCTGCCCTCAATCCACATGCAGTGGGATTGGAAGAGACAGCTCTGGGAATATCTGTTAATTCAGGGAATAAATAATTCATCCCATCATTTTATCTGTCATCATCC